TCACACGTTAACAGCGCGTAAGTAATGTTCGTTCTCCAAATGTTATCACCAATAGAATTATTTATTGTCGCGGCTGAGGCTGAAATTTGGACCTATTTGGATATGAAATTTTAAAATTTTTGGGAAAGTTTTTTTTCGTCTTTTTTTTTTTTAGGGTTGAGTTAGAATTTTGGGCTAGAATTGATAAATAAAGCATATATGTGGATTTAGCAGACTTTTATTTTCAAATCGAGACCCCAAATTTCAGCATCAGCCACGACGTTTATTAATATTCATTATTCTTCATTTGTGCGTTAAACTACCAGTATGTAGGTAGAATTTATAAATCATTTTTATTTATTTAGGGCATCGACTGATATTAGCTAATATTCTTGGGGTCTTAAGTTACACAAGATATTGCCAAACAAAAATTTTATTAGAACAGGGTGAGGGTGAAATCCGCTGTTTATTATTATATAAAAGTGGATTTCACCCTCATGTGATGATCATAGCGGATTTGATCAACCAATCAGATCGTAAGATCAGTTGTAACGTGAAATACCTTAGACGTTATAATAAAAAAATTCCTTGCAAAATTGGTATAGGAATAATTTTTACTACTATTTAACCTGATCTATCTTAACGCTGATTCTTATCCTTAACCTAAATTAGTACGTCAATAGGTTTATTTGTTTTGATTTCACGATACACCTAATCTTATGGGTACGTTACAACGCATATGATAAAATTCTATTAAAGATTTTATAAAAATTAAAAATAAGCCACACAAATTTAATATTATGGTTTTAATTACATGAAACTTTTGAATATACATGACCGGCCGGCTTTTTTTAAAATTTTCATATATAAATTTTATAAAATTTTTGTAAATAAATTTTATAAAATTTTTGTAAAAAAAAGGTTTAAAAAACCTACTCAGTTATTAAAAAAGTTTTTACAAGCTTTCAAAATTTGATCCGGCCGGGTTATGAAAACCAATTAATTAATTTGTATGACCTAATTTTAAAATGTTTAAAAGTTTTGTTTTAACTAAATTATGCAATTTGATTGATCTTAGTGGGGTTGGGTATGGCCATATAGTAAAATGAATATTAGTTAATATATGTCATTGCCCTTGTCATTAGTAGAAATTATTTATTAAAGATTCCTATTTTTTTTGTTTACTTACATATTAAACCAACAGTTTGTAAGTATAGAATCTATTCATAAAGTAATAATCGTTTTATCAATAATCGAATTATATGCTAATATTTCATTTTGTTAACTACCAGCATGCAAGTATAGAGTTTATTTTTATTCATAAAATTACTTTGTTTATCGTCAATAGAAATTATCTATTAAATGTTGCTTCTATGTTTCTCTACCTGTTAAATTACTAGTGCGTAAGTATAAGTTTATTCAGAAAGAAATGTTATTTATCACCTAATTTTTTGATCTATTTTAAAGAATAGTGTCTAAAATAATATAATAAAAAAATATTATAAGGCGATTGCATGTTAGATTTTTTTTATTTGAAGTTCGGTGATACTTGACATTTCACTAAAATAATCACATTTTATTGATAGAATCATCTATTAAATATTTATTTGATCATTCATTTATATTAACCTCTAGTGTGTAAGTATAAAATAAGGCTACTTAATGAAAATTTAATATATTAAATATTTTATGTTCTTTTATTTACATATTAAACTTTCAGATTGTAAGTATAAAATCATAAAATAAATACTAAACTTTGTTATCAATAAAACTATCCATTAAATGTCATTTCTTATTCTTTCACTTATATATTTAAACTACTCAGTGGGTAAATATAAAAATAATTTTTGCATTTTTGTTGTCAATTGAAATTGTCTATTAAAATATTGTTTCTCTGTAAACTAACAGCGTGTAAGTATTGTGTTTATTCATAAAATAATTCTCTACATTTCATTAAAAATTACTTCATTCATCCGTTATACTAGTCTGTAAGTATAGAGTTTATTCATAATTCAATCACCAATTTTTATTAACGATTATGTTGTCTTATTTATTTGTCAAACTTATCAGCCAGTAAGTATAATTTATTCTTCACAATTTGCCATTAATAGAAACTAACTATTAAATATATATTTCTGTTCTTTCATTTATATTCAAACTAGTTTGTAAGTATAGAGTTTATTCATAAAATAATCTCCACATGACTAATAGAAATCACATACGTATTTAAACTACTAGGGAGTAAGTTTACTGTTTATTCACGAAATAATTGTCGTTAATAGAACAGATTAAATATTAATTTTTTTCATTGATTTACATATTAAACTACAGAATGTAAATAAACTCTATTGATAAATTACTCGGTACATTCATATCGACTTAATTTTTAGAATAATTAATTTATATAAAGTAGATGGATAATTTTTGATTCACTGGTCTGTTTTGGATAATTTTACTGCCAAAATGACCGCCTCGATGAACGATTCTATAGGGCTCAAGATTGCTAAATTCAATCACAGGACTCTGGGATATATGCATTCCAGTCAAAATTGAATGAGTATAGCTAATCTGATTTTTCCTGAATATTTAAAATCTCGCAGTAAAATCATCCAAAACGGAACAGTTGGTCAAAGGCTATTCACTAGAAAAGTTATATATTTTTAATAGCGATTCCAAAAATTAAGCCTTGTGATCAATGTGGATTATCTATTAAATACTATCTTCTATTTCTCATTCACATGACATATTAAACTGCCAGCATGTAAGATAAGTCTTAGCGTAGTGTGTTTTTATAATATAAATTTCAAATTTGTTAAATATTCTCTATTCTTTTATTCGCGTGTTAAATTACCAGCAAGTGAGTATAAAACTTGCACGTTAAATAATACACTCACTTTTTTTATTAATAGAAGAATATTTTAAATATTACTTTTATTTCTCTCTTATGAACTATTAGACAGTAAGTATAATGCTTATTTATAAAACAATTGTGACGGCTGAAGTTGAAATTGAATATGTTAAAAGATTTAAAAAATTCTATATAAAAAAATTGAAAATTTCCCAGGTTATCATTTTGGAAAGTTTTGGAACAAAATCATAGATAAAAATTACATTATGGTTTTAGCAGTTTTTATGTAAAATTTAATAGAGATGCAAAGCAGTTTCAATCCTCACAATAGTTTACACATTTTAACATCAATTATTCTTAAATCTATCTTTCTTTATTTCACGTATCAAACTACCAGAAAGTAAATATAAATAGTTTGTAAAGCAATTAAATAGGAATTATATTAATGGCTATCTGTTCATTTACATGTTAAAATTATTAGAAGGTAAGTAATTTTTATACTTTATTATAGATTGAATAATTAATTAAACATTACTTTCTTTTTCTTTTGTGTATAACTACAGATTGTAAGTATATTTATTTAAAATTTTATTTAATAGTCATCATATTTGTTACAGCATAAATTATTTATTAAATATCATTTTTTTCTTTTTTCATTTACATGTCAAACTACTAGGGTGTAAGTATAACGTTATTTATAAAACAGTCTAATTTTATGTAAATGTGAATTACCTATTAAATAATATTTTTATGTTCATTAATATGTTAAAATGCCAGTGGGTAAGCATAAGATCATTCATAAAATAATCATCAATAGAATTATTTATTAAATATTCTCTTTCATTTACTTGAATTTCCAGATAGTAAGTACGGAGTTAATCATCAATCTACTAATTTAACGTCAATTAAAGTTACTAAATATTGTTTTTTTTAAACGTCAAACTGCAGTTTGTAAGTATAATAGAATTTAATCATAAAATAAGCACTGCATTTTATTGTTTCTATTAAATATATCTGCATGATAAACTACTAGGAAGTAAGTATAGTATAGAGTCTGTTCATAAAAGCATTACTGACTTTATCATCAATAAAGTTGCCTATTAAATCTTACTTCTCTTTTAAACTATCAGAACGTAAGCATTGTTTATTTGTAAAAAATTTACACGTTTTACCTTTAATAGAATTATCCACTAAATATTATTTTTTTTCTGTTCTTCCATTTATGTTTTAAACTGCCAGTTTGTAAGTAAAGAACTAGTTCATCAAATAATATGCTACCTTTTAGTAACTATCTCTTATGTATTTTTTCTTTGTTTTCATACTACTAGAATGTTAGTACAGAGTTTGTTCATAAATTAATCGCTTAATTTTATCGTCTATGGATTGTTTATTAAATATTACTTCTCTATTCTTTATTTACATGTTAAACTGCCAGTGGGTAAGCATAAGTTTGTCTATAAATAGTAAGCAACAGAATTATCTATTAAATACTTCATTGCTCTTTCATTTATGCTTAAAAAAAACTGCCAGTCCGTAAGTATAGGGTTTATTCATCAAATAATATACTCATTTTAACATCAATAAAAATCATCGGCTCAATATTTTTCTGTTTTTCTTGCATGATAAACTACCAGAGTGTTAGTATAAAATTTATTTGTAAAATAATCACTTTATTTTATGGGTCTCTATTTAATATTACTGCTTTGTTTGTTCTCTTACATGTTAAATTACTAGCATGTGCGTACAGGGTTTGTTCATAAAATAATTGCTGTATTTATTATCAATAGAATTATCTATTAAATCTTATTTCCTTTTTATTCACTTATATGTTAAACTATTAGTGTGTAAGTATTGTTTTATTTGCAAAAAAAATCCATAGATTTTATCTTCAATAGAATTATTCATTAAATATTGCTTTTGTTTTTCTTACATTTTAAACTCCCAGTGCGTAAGTATAGAGTTTATTAGTAATAATAATACTCTGATCCGTTGGGAGTTAGCGGAAAGTTTGTTTCCGCTTATTCACATACGGACAGGGTATTAATAAAGTAATCACTGTATGTTATTATCTCTATTAAATATTGCTCATTTATACTTGAATTTAAAAATCCTAGAGCGTAAGTACAATATAGAATTTGTTTTCATAAAATAATCGCTGAAATTTATCGTCACTATGGATTATCCATTAAATGCTGCTACTATATTCTTCATTTATATGTTAAACGCCAGTGAGTAAGTATGGGCTTATTCATAAATAATAATCATAAGAGTGATCTATTAAATATTATCTCTTCTTTTACTTACATTTTAAACTGCCAGTATGTAAGTATAGAGTTTATTCATCAAACAATATACCTTCTTTTTATCGTCAATTAGAATTTAAATATTATTTCCGTTTTTCTTGCATGTTAAACCACCAGTGCGTAAGCATAGTATATAGATTATTTATAAAAATTATCATTGTATTTTTTACCTCTATTAAATATACTTCTTTTTCCTTTTGCGCGTTAAACTGCTAGAGAGTAAGTATAAAGTTTATTCATAAAGTAATTGCAGCATTTCTCATCAATAAAATTATCACTAAATCTTATTTCCATTTTTATAAATTACCAGGGTGTGAGTATTGCAAAAAAAAAAAAAAAATCCATACGTTTTATCTTTGATAGAACAATTATTATAAATCACACCAGTGATGTTAACTAAAAATTAAAGTTAAAAATAAAGCTGGGTTAAGGTTTTTTTGTATGCTGAACATTTTTACTTTAATATTTAGCCTTGGTTATTAACCGCTGGTGTAATTTAACAATACTATAAAGAATTATTCATTAATCATTATTTCTGTTTTCTTACATTTAAACTGCCAGTGCGTAAGTATAGTATGAAGGTTATTAATAAAACAACAGCTGTATTTTATTGTCTCTATTAAATATTACTTATTAAATGTTAAACTACTAGAACGTAAGTATAGTATAGGATTTATTCATTAAATAATCACTAAAATTTATATTATTTGTTAAATATTACTTTGCTATTCTTTATTTATATGCTTAATAGTAAGTAAGTATAGGCTTATTTACAAAATAATCAACAAAATTATCCATTATATTTTTCCTGCTCATTCGCTTACGGTTTAAACTGCCAGTTTGTAAGTATAGTTTAAACAATATACTCTTTATCGTCAATAGAACTCATCCATTAAATACTATCTCTGTCAGTATGTAAGTATAGTACTGTATAAGGGTTATTCATAAATTAATCACCACATTTATTGCCCCTATTAAATATTACCTTTTTATATTCGCATGTTGACTGTTAGTGAGTTAGTATAGAGTTTTTCATAAATAATCGCAGAATTTTCTCGCCAATAAAATCATCTGTTAAATTTTGCTTCTCTTTTATTCATTTATGTGTTAAACTACTAGAATGTAAGTATAGTTAGTGTTTATGAATATCTATACATTTTATCTTAAATTGAATTATTATTGAAATTACCTTCTTTTTTTTCGCTTATGTTTTAAACTGTCAGCGTGTAAGTATGGAGTTATTACTCAAACAATATGCTCATTTTATTCTCAATATAAATTATTTATTAAATATTATTTGTTTATCTTACATGTAAATTACTAGTACGTAAGTATAGTATAGAGTTTATAAAATAATCGCCACATTTTACGTCAATAGAATTATCTGTTAAATATTACTTTACTGCACTTTTACTTATATTCTAAACTACCAGCCCGTAAGTAGAGTTCATTCATAAATGATCTAAGCATTCTATCATCAATAGAAATTACCCATTAAATATTATTTCACTTCTCTTTCATACGTGCTAAACTATTAGGGAGTATGTATATACATAAAATAATTTCCACTTATTTATCGATAGAAATTTCACTAATGATTATTTCTCATTCTTTCCCTTACGCGTTAAAATACCAGGAGGTAGGTATAATTTATTCATAGAATATTACCACATCGTCAATAGAATTGCTTTTCGCTTACGTGCTTTTGCTTACTTGCTAAACATTAGAACTATTAGGAAGTATGTATAATGTTTATTAATCGAATAATCATCACATGTTACTGTCGATAGAAATTATCCATTAAAATATTATTGCTTTGTTCTTTCACTTGTGTGTTAAATACCAGGCAGTAAGCATACTTTATTTACATTTTATCATCAGCGGAATTATTTATTAAATACTACTTCATAATTATTAGGATGTATGTATGGAGTTTAGTTATAAATAATCATTATCGATAAAAATCGTCCATTAAATATTATTTCCTTATATGCTAAATGCCAGAGAGTATGTATCATAATTTACTCATAAAATTTTGACACATTTTATCAATAGAATTATCTATTAAATATCACTTTACGCTTACGTGCATAACTATTAGGGAGTTAGTATAAAATCTATTCACCAAATAATCACCACATTTTATGTCAATAGAATTATCTAATGATTGCCTTTTAACTTATGTGCTAAACTACTAGCTTGTAAGTAGAGTTTATTCATAAAATAACCTAACCATTTATTATTGATAGAAATCATTTATTAAATATTATATTTCTGTTATTATGCCAGGGAGTAAGTATAAAGGTTTTCATGAATTTTTATCAATAATAGAAATCATCTATTAAATATTACTCACTACGTTTTCACGCATGCTGAACTATTAGAAAGTAAGTCATTTATAAAATAATTGCGCATTTGTTATCAATAGAAATCATCATTAAAGATTATTTCTAATTCACTCATATGTCAAACTACCAGAGAGTAAGCGCCACATTTTTATCGTCTATAAACTATCTACTAAATATTACTTGAGTGCCCTTTTACTTACGTACTAAACTACCAGCTTGTAAGTATAATGCTTACTCATAATCTGAGCATCTTATTATCGATAGAAATTATCCGTTAAATATTATTTCTTTATTCTTCTATGTTTTAAATTATCAGGAGGTATGTATAAAGTTTATTCATAAAATAATCTACATTCGTTATCAATAAAAATTCCATTAAAGATTATTTATTCTGTCACTTATGCATTAAACTACTAGGGAGTAAGCATAAATTTATTTATAAAATATCAGGGATGAATCTGAAATTTGGATGACTAAAAACCCATTTGCCTGTGCATCAATTACACGATCATTCAAATTTCAGTATCATTTATAAAATATTCCTTCATTTTATAGTCAATGGATACTTATTAAATATTACTTCATTACTCTTTCACTTATGTGCTAAACTGCCAGCTTGTAAGTAGTGTGCTTATTCATAAAATAACCTAAGCAGTTTTATTATTGATAGTAATCATCCATTAAATATTATTTCTATGTCTTACATCAGAGGGTAAGTTTATTCATAAAATAGTCGGCATATTTTATAATAAATAAAAACCTTCCATTAAATATTAATCTACTACTCTTTCACATGTACTAAACTATTAGGAAGTAAGTATATTCGTAAAATAATTGCCATATTTGTTATTGATAGAAATTATCATTAATGATTATTCTTCACTCTTTTACTTATTTGCTAATTACCAGGGAGTAAGCATAAACTTACAAAATTTTGTTACATTTTTATCATCCATAAAATTATTTATTAAATATTGACTGTTCTTTAACTTGCATGCTAAACTACAAGCATGTAAGTATAATGTTTATTTAAAATAACCTGAGTAGTTTGTTATTGACAAAAATTATCTATTAAATGTTCTTTTACTTATGCCTTAAACTATCAGGAAGTAAGCATATGAATAAAATAATAATTAATTGAATTATTTAGTAAAGATTTTTTTATTTCCCTTGCATGCTAAACTACCAGGCTGTAAGTACTGAGCTTATAAAACAGTTCTCAAGTTTTATCGTTAATCAATTAATGTATTCAGTATATTTTAAACTACTAGGGCGTAAGTATAGACTTTATTCATAAAGCATCTATACATTTTAACTTAGTAGTATTATTCATTAAATATTATTTTATTCTTGCACTTACGTGTTAATCTATCAGGAAGTACAAAATAATTTCCGTTTTTATTGCTAAATTGAAAATTAAACTTTAAATATTAATTCACTGTTCTTTCACTTACCATTACTAGTTTGTAAGTATTGAATATATTCATAACAATCAATGAAACCATCTATTAAATATTGCTTCTACATTCTGCTACCAGCATGTAAGTACAGTATATCGTTCTTTATAATGTGCTAGATTTATACATCTAGCCATCAAAATCAGACGGCAAATTTGCCAAATTTGCTATCTGAATTAGGTGTACAAAAAACTGCCCTGCGTTACTAATCTAAAAGTTTCGTTATCAACGAGTTTTATAGTTTGTATATTTGTTTTGATGTTTAGGTTGATAATAAGATTTTTTAGATTCGTATCTGCAGATATACATCATCTGATAACTGTCAAAATTGCGAATCATTTAGCCAGATCGAGCTATTTTAAATCTGGTAAATAACCTGTAGGTTTGACTAGAATTATGAAAGAAGGGCTATTTCATTGATCAAGTGATGCATATCTGGTAATGCAGAATAATATGCAGGATAATATGCACAAAGCTGATAATTATTACTTTTATTGTTAATAAAAATTCTTCATTAATATTCTTATATCTGCATATTAAACTACCAGCATGTAAGTCAATAATTTGAAATAATCATCATAATAGTTATTAATAAAAATTATCCATTAAATATACTTATTTGGCATTATAAAATTTCATTAAATATTATTTTCTCTATTCTTTTGTTTATATGTATTAGAGAGTAAGTTTATTCAATAATCATCTTATCTTGTTATTAATAAAACTAACAAAGATTATTTCTGTATTCACATACTAGTATGTAAGTACAAAGTTTATTTATAAATTTATTATTATTATAAATTATTTATTGAATATTATTTTTATATTAAATTACCAGCAAGTGATTATTAAAAAATTATTGAATATTACTGCTTTATTCTTTCATTAACATTTTAAATTACTAGATTGTATGTATAGAACTTATTTATAAAATAATTAGTTTTTGTTGTTAATAACGATAGAGAATTATAATCATCAAATCTAATTTGCTTATTTTTTATACATCAGCTTGTAAGTAAATATTGTAATTATTTTTAAAGCAATATTTCTTTTCAACCAATATTATTGATTAAATATTTTTTATTCTTTTACTTATACACTAAAATTAGTCCGTTAGTATAGAATTGGTTTATAAAATAATATACTCTTTTTATCATTAATATAATACTAATAAATACTACTACTCATATGCTTATATATTAAATTGTCAGAATGTAAGTACAGAGTTTATTCATAAAATCTTATTATCATCTTTGGGTATTAACTTCTTTCTCATTTACATAACTTATCAGAATGTAAGCATAAAGTAATTAATAAATATACCTGTTAAATATTACTTATTTACTAATTGTCAAATTTCCAGTGTGTAAATATAGAACTTATTTATAAAAATTGTATTTTATCATTAATATGAAGTTATAAATTAATACTCTGTTTTTTTTGCTTATATATTAAATTACTAGAATGTAAGTATAAAGCCTATATAAATCTATCATTCTATGTCAATAGAATTATTAAATATTATTTATTGGTCTTTTTATTTATTTGCGCATTTATATGCCAGATTGTAAGTATAGAGTTCATAAAACAGTATATTCAATAGAACTACCGGTTATTTATTAGATATCACTTTTTTGTAACTTTACTTATACGTTAAAAAATTATCAGATTGTAAGTATAAAGTTTATTCACAAACGATATAGAGTTAGAATGATTCAATAAATGTTTTTTTGTAATAACTACAGGATGTAAGTATAGAGCTTGTTTACAAAGCAATCATTTTATTTATCATAAATTGATTATTCATTAAACATTATTTCTTTTGTTATCTCACTTCTTCGATAAAATACCAGGGCGTAAGTATTTTATAGTCATTTTATATTAATTAAATATACTACTTCATTTTACTTATGTATCAAACTACCAGATTGTAAGTATTGTACTTATTCTTAAATAATATACTTAATTAACAAAAGAATTATTTATTAAATATTACCTCTCTGTTCTTTTGCTAATGTGTTAAACTAAAGATGGTAAGTATATCATTAATAGAACTATCTATTAAATAATACTTTTCTTTCACTTACATATAAAATTATTAGTATGTAAGTATGGAATCTACACATTTGTTATCAATAAAATTAACTATTAAATACTCATTATTTGTTTTTTCATTTATATGTTAAACTATAGACTGTAAGTATTAAGTTTACAAACTTATCACACATTTTACTATCAAATTAAATCATCAATTAAATATTCTTTTTTTTTATTTATTTGCGTGTGTTAAAATCTAGGTCGTAAGTATATAGTTGTTTTATAAATAATTTTCTTATCTTATTGTCCAATATGGTTATAAGTTTCTGTGTTTATTCATTTACATGTTAAACTGCTAGAATGTGAGTATAAAGTTTTTTATAAAATATCTAATATTTATCATCAATAAGAATTGCTCATCAAATATTAATTTCCTTCTTTTTTTATTACATGTTAAACTACAGCTCGTAAGTATAAAATTATTCATAAAATCATTTATTAAAAACCATTTTTGATTAATTTACTTGTGCAAATTTATCAGTGCGTAAGTATAAAATTTATTCACAAAATAAAAGTTATTATTATTTATTTGTTCCTTCACTTACATAAATTATCAGTGCGTAAGTGTAAAATTTATTTATATAATAATATACTCACTTTATTGTTTTAGAATTAATTATTAAATATTTCTCCTATATTTGTTAAACTACTAGGATGTAAGTTTAAAATTTATTTATAAGTAATTCACATTCAATCATTAATATAAATCTTCATTACATGCTAAACTATCAGTTAGTAAGTATATGACCTATTCAAAAGCAGTTATCATAAATAAAAGTTATTTATTAAATATTACTTTTGTGTTCACTTGCGTGGATAACTTACCAGTTTGTAAGTATGGGTTATTTACAAAATAATTTACGCGTAATTATTAAATATACTTCTTTATTCATTTATATGATAAACTACTAGCAAGTAAGTAGAGTTTATTTATAAACCGATCTCATTTTATTGCTATTTAATTTTTTGTCTGTTTATATGATAAATTATCAGGAAGCAAGCATACATTGTTTATTCATAAGAGAATATGTTTATTTTACCTCCATTAGAATTATTATTAAGTATTTTTTTTATCTGGTCATTCAAATGTGTTAAATCATTAGAATGTGAATCTACTTCATAATTTGCCAATCACAAAAAACTGAATGAACATATTTATTATCGTTATTCTTATTTTCAACAGTTTAATATTATTATATACATAAAATTAGCCTAAATGAGTGCGATAAAGTTATTTGCGATGTAAAATTTTTATTTAACTTAGTCAAACAAATATCTCCTTTTTATCTGTTTCATATATCTTTCTACAGTTAATCCTATTTCCCTATATTTTCAGCTTTGTTTTTTCCTTCAATAAATTGAGCAAAATAATGATTCGGATGTTATTACGTCCGAATCAAAAGTTATCACTGCCGAATCAAAACCTATTGAATCAGCAAATATTCGGTCGGTCAAATTTTCTAGAATTTATGAAAACAGCTGTAATTAAACTGAACCTCTTACAT